TTATTTTCATTTATTTTATTTATCTCTAAAATTTACATGGAAAAAACATTCTAGAATCTTTATCATTATGTTTCTATTTATTATTTTTTGTTTTGTAAATTACTTGAGAGACTTTATATAGATGCCTGTTTTGTTCATTTACTTGATGAGTAGTTATCTAAACAAGTAGAAAAATCAAATGATGCAAGTTAAACGATGGATTTCAAAATGAATTTAGATTTATGTTAAATAATTAATGACAAGTGGAATGAAAATAACCACTCTCATGACTTGGAAAATGATGAGGTATTGATTCCGTTGGATTCTTCATTTTAGTGGTGAGCAAATTGCACTGTAGTTGCAGTTGCGAAATACACAATAATAATGGAGCACAAAGTAGTCGACAATATTTATTGAACCATCCTGCAAGGAAAACAAAGAAATTTAAGTTCATGGACTTCGTGGAACTCGACTCATTGTCGTCTGAGTTCTCTCTCAAAGAAAATCTTGTCAATCTAAATTTTTATTACGCAATAAATTACTAATGTACATTTACATTATATATGTCAATGAATTTTCAATCTAAAATTTGATGGCATGTGTTAGATATACACTTGCCCAAAATGATAGAGTATTATTTCATAAATATATACCACAAATACTCCCTTACCTGTTTTGGGGCACAAATCACATATTCACTCACTTTCATGAACATGTCAATTGGACTGCCCATGATGGTTGACTTGAATTGGTTGTTCGAGTGTGGTCAGACATGTATTGGTCGACGTGGGGTGGTTGGAGCATGTATTGGTTGACCTGGGTGGTCGGGCTTGAACAATCGTACCAGATCGGTCGACCTTGAGTGGTTAGGCTTGGGATGGTCGAGCTAAGGACGATTGCACCTTGGACGATCGTCCCAAGATGGTCAACTCGAGTTGGTCGGGCTGAACTTGTAGGCCAAGGTGGTTGACCAAGGCTTGTCAGCCTTGGTGGTTGACCCAAGGTTGCTAACCCTTTCTGGTTGGTTGGCTCAGTGTGGTTGACCCGTGGTGGTCATCCTAGGTTCAATAGGCTAGTGCTAGTCGATCCTTGGTGCTTGGCCCTGGATGGTCATCACAGAGTTGTCGGGCCCGTGCTTGTCAGCTCGAGCTGGTAGGGCTCGAGGTTGTCGGCCTGGTTGGCCCAGCCTGCATTGGTTGACTCAAGGTGGTTGGGCCTATGTTGGTAGGCCTGGTTTGGTTGGCTTGTGGTTGTCGACTGGAGTTGGTCTGGCTAGTTTGTTGGCACAAAAAGCTTCTTTCGATTGCTTGTGACATGAAAAAGAAGATAATAGGGAAATAGAGAAAGGGGTGAAATTTCCAGGGACAATTTTAGCAATAAAAATTATGGCTAATTTTAAGAGGTGGTGCATCAATTACTCCAACAAAAATAACCTACCAACTAATACTTCAAAAATCAGTTTAAAATGATTTTAAATTTTTTCAAAAATTAGTTTTATCTCTGGCTAAACATGATCATTTTAAAAGAAAGTGATTTTGCAATGATAAAAAGTAATTTTGACCATGTCAAAATTACACTCAAACATGTCTTACACACTCTAAATTAGTAATGTTTCCAAAAGTTCTTATAGAAGAAATATTTTTATTTAAAAAGCATTTTTATTCAAAAGCAATCTCAAAACACGCACTTAAATAGTGATTTCTATTTCGTATGATTTGAAAATGTTTGAAAATTATTCGGCGTTTGAAACCATTTAAAAATAGATAAAACTTAGGTGTTCATGGGTAAGTAAGTAGTTATCTCCTATTTACCATCATTATAAAAATTGGTAATTAGGAGAAGATGAATGCATTAAGGAAGAGAGAAAATTGAATAAGTAGTCGTCAAATTTTGATTGGGGATAAGTATTGTTTGATAAAGAAATTGACCAACTCCACGAACCTTGGCTTGGATAGAAAATGACCTGGAAGATGAGCTGGAGATATATCGAACAGGGAACCTGCAAAATAGAAGACACTCCGATGTCTAAGTCAATAGATTGCCAAGCTAAATTCGAGAGAGAATTTAGTATTCGCGTACTTGAAAATGAGGCAAATGAGTTCTACTTATAAGCAACTTCCCTGACAATATTCTCGACAAGGCCTCGAAGACTCTTTATGGTAGCCGTGAATCACGTCGTCTTGTCGTGGAGTCTGTCGAAGAATGGAGCTGAGCCGAAGCTAAGCAGATTGATTCATCCAACATATGGGAACGTTATTCGAGGAAGTTGGGTCGGCTCGGTGCTCCAAGGCATTGGTTCGGTACTAGAAGACAACACCGATGTAGTGAATCTTAAGCCTTATCAATCAAAGTCATGTGTACCTTCTGTTCTCCTTTCAAAATGTGCCACGTGTAGGCTGAAAATCACGTCAAACATTGGCCCTCCACTGAGCTGAGGCGCCACGTCGGGTCGGCTCAGTGACATGAAAAAGTTGCATGATGAGCTGAAGCTTTTAACAAAATGGATGGAATTCGAATGGTCGAGCTGACGTATGTTGATGTCACACTTTGCTGGCTTTGGCGGGAATGCATCTGGACCGTTGAATTCAAATTTTGCAGACGGCTGAGATGATTTCATCAAAGGTGGTGAATAGTGGAGTTCATTCTTCACTTTTCAAAGCAGAATCTAAAAAATTCTCTTAAATTTCCTTTCGCTCTCGAGGTGTCCTCGGCTCGGAACGTCGCTAAGTCAGTCGCATTTCTTATCTTTTCATTTCCATGAGCGATCTACCGAGTTGAGGGGAGTAATTTTTAGACCTTGCGCAGGTCAGAAAGATGGCGCATCATGTTCGTCTAGTATAGAGCTCATTATGAACTCATCATCCACCTCTTGCCAAGGTGATCCTAGTCTGAACCCTGTGCCTGGGCTAGAACCTCCTCCCTCTATTTGTACCAAGGATGACCTCAAAGAATTTTGTGACTTATATAGGATACTTGATAGCATTAGGATGAGGCTACCTGTTGCGTCTGCACAACTGCATTGTCAACACGTGCAAGTAACACGATTCGTCGGTTGTAGTACGTAACGAGGTCGTATCCACAGAGACTTTTGGTTGTACTTTAACGATAAATGCAGATACCAACAAATTAAAATAAACAAAGATTGGGTATGGATATTGACTAGAAAAACAATAAAATAACGTTATAATAAGACGACAGATACTTGCAAGACACAACAGTTTTGAGACTGTTAACACAAGGATGTAGTAGCACAGAAAGAGGAAATGAGGGATTAAAAGATATGAAGAGAGCGAGGGAGATTCAACATACTTTAACACATTATCAACCTATACTCTAGCGCAACTAATCATTTATTAATGCCCAGTTCGACTTGGTTCCCTTCCGAGACACCCCAAACATGAGTAAGCACAACTCCCGTTTGCTAAATACCCAAGAAATAAAATCCAAACTATAGGCATGATTAGGGGACCCCATTCCTGAGCATCTCTATAGCTATCGAATAGCGCTAACCACAAGCAAAACAAGTCAACACCCACAAGCCCTTCCGAGTCAATATAGAAGCTAGCATACACGAAACAGCGGCCAACAGTAACGCGAAGGTTTCAAAAATAAATTCAAATTTGCTTAAAAATAAATGTAGCAGCTAGAGATTCGGTCTCAAATCAGTTACAGCATGCGAACCTCCCCCGAAATGGGGTTTAGCTCATAATGGGTGAAGAAAACAAAATGGAGGAAGAAAGAATATAACCCATAGCAGAAAAGTGAATAATTGACAGAAAGAAGAAGCAGATAGCTCTTTTAGGTAGGCGAACTTCCTCTTTCCGGCATCAGCTCTCCTCCCGAAAATGGGTATATTTCGTTCCCTTGTCTTTTCAGCTCTAAAAGAATGTGTGTCCGTCGGCTAGGGCAACCTTCCCTTTAAATATCGGGTCCCGTTTTTAGGGCACCCGACTGGGGATTGTATGGACATAGGGGAATCCCGTGGTTTTGAATTAACTGTACGGACACCCATGCCCTGATATCGCTATGCTCCAACTTTTATATGCTCCGTCTTGACAATGCTTTGACTTTTCCTCTCTGGTTCAGCACTTCTTTCTCTTTTTGTCTCCTCTTTAAAAACCTTTGTAAAAGAACCACAAATACAAGAGTTTATGCTGTTTTTGGCCAAAGTTCTCAAGACCAATAATATTTAGCTAAGAATTTACATTTTAACACTATTCATGCTAATTATGACCTAAACCCGACACACTTTGACATTTTAATGCACATTTTTACCCAAATAATCACCAGAATAACTCTCTTTTGGAGAGTTATTACTACCTCAGGTCAGGAAATACTTGGACAACCCTCAAACAGGGTGGGTCAGTATGTACCCTCAAATGTTCAAGCATGAAGTTCGGCTCCCCCTTAACCTATTTATCCAACGTTTCCTCTCAGCCACAAACTTGGCCCCGGCTCAGCTAGTCTCAAATGGTTGGTTACTTTGGTCCGTTTATGGTACATCTGGTGGGGATTTAGTGGGGGTGAGGAGAGCCTTTTACTAGATGTAGGTTAGTTCTTTGCCACCCACCTCATTAAACATACCGAGATTCTCCTGGTCGATACTACATATCGACCAACAATACTTTTTGCAAA